CGTTATTGCAAGTTTTGCTAAGTAACCATTTTATAGGGGAAAACTGACCGGGGAATTTACCGTTGAATCCACGATGATTTGGACTCCCCATAACCCTTACATTCGAGGAGAAGTGTTCCTAAGGGGGGGGAGGGTGTTACAACCCATATTTACATACGTTAGTCATGCCATAGGTCGTCGACGTAAATCCATGAAGAGATTATCTTGAGATGAATAAGAGATTAATCTTATTGGTCTTAAATGATACAAAGGTGTATAAGGGTGGTTAACAAGTAATTAGAAGTTAAACGAATCAAGGATGTTGTCAGCCGTATTTTGGGTAAACCTAGGGGTGGGCTTAATACTCTCAAGAGGTCGTATTTTTAAAGGTATATGAATCATAAAATATCCGTATCATAGTCTTGAAAGTCAAACGAGTTATGAAACAAAAGTCGAAAAGAGTTTGTTGCAACTTAAAGTTCATAGTTTTACTGTAAACTTTAGGTCAAATTTGTTAAGCTTTTCGCCTCCCAATATACTTGGGAATTACGGGGTGATTACCCACCAAATTGAAGATCTATGAGTCCTAGTTCCAAACGCATTAAACTTTTATCAATACGACATTGGAGTAGAGAGGATATTTGCCGTTTTCGCGAGACTGCGCCAAGCACCTCTCTATGGGACCCACTTAGGCAGTTTAAGATATTTGGATCTATATAGGACGCCTCCAACCCGTTTTAAAAGTCAATTTATTTTCACTAATTTTCAGACTTAGAACCCTAGAACACCCTCTCAAGTTTCTCAAGATTCAAGACCCAAACAAAGGGCAAACAACACAAATCAAGTGTCGGGAATCCCGTGGCGCTAGTAAGTCTCTTGTTCTTCTTGTTGTTGCTCATTTTTGTGTTGTTCCAGCTCCGTGTGGGAGGTTGTTTTAAAGGGTTTATGTTGTGATAAATACTCCCTCAAGTTCTTAATATCAACCCTAGGTGATTTCAAGCCTTCTAAAGTGATTCTAGTGGCCAAAAAGAAAAACACTAATTGATTGCTAGTTTCGCTTCCTTGTTGTTGTGGCAGAATTGGAGGGATATTTCGTGGAGAATTAAGGTCAAATTGGAGTTGTTCTTTCTGTATAAAGGTAAGGAACCTCTTAATCTATATGTATTAAGATTATCCAAGTTACGGCTAAGTCATTGAAAGCTATTGAAGCTAGAACTTGTGAAATATATATCGAAAGGCTTGGTAGTAATGTTATCGGTTGGTGGACTGTTTTGGGATGCTCAATATGATTATTATTGATGTTGTTTGGGCTGTTTGGTGATTGTTTGGAATTGTGCGAAGTCATATATATAGGGGAGGTGCTGTCCGTTTCATCGTAAAATAGGTTGTGGTCGATACATAATAGTTATGACGCTTGAATGGTAACTATAGTACCGTTTCTCTTATTGTAGACTAAGGAGTCGTGAAAATTGCATAGCTTGAGATTGGGGCAGTATATACAAGGTATGTGAGGCTATCCCTTTCCTTCTTTTGCACGACTCCGATTGTACATAATGTAATGAACGAGCTTCCAAAGATACTCTACTCTTAGAAGCTAGCAGTACTTACATTGTTTCCCCTCTTATGGAACGATTGACGTTGATGTTGCTTCTCTTATTCTTATGTTGTCAATGTTATTGGTACTTCCTGATTCTTATAAGGTTCATGGTGAAGAGTTAGTCCTAATAACGTGTACAGAGGATACCGACCTTACGTCACTCCAAAAGGTTTAGAACGTGACTCCATGAGTCCAGCATGCATTATATATGTATGTACTTTCTCTACCGAGCCGCGCTATAGTCGGCCGGGTATGGCACCTATTGTGCAACCACTGATCAGTTGGGTTTTACCGAGCTCCACATGGCCGGGTACGTTTTTACCGAGCCTATTACTGCCGGGTACGATATGATGATGATGATGCCCACAGAGGCGTATGTTTTAAAAGTTTATGTATATATACATATGTATTACGCATTTCATGTCAGTAGCCTTAGAGGTACCCAGATGTTACAGGTTGTTTATTCTCTATCCCTGCTTACATTACTGTTCGTACTTATGGTTCCCTGCCTTACATACTCAGTACTTTATTCGTACTGACGTCCTTTTATTTGTGGACGCTGCATGTCGTGCTGCAGGTCCTGATAGACAGGCAGGCGCAGCTCCCCCACCATAGTAGGCTGTCCAGTTCAACGGTGATTGGCGAGATCCCTTCTTCGGACTTGCCTTGGTCTTGGTATGCATTTTTGTTATAGATATTATGGGTATGTCGGGGCCCTGTTCCGGCTATGTTGCAACACTTATGTTCCTTTAGAGGCTCATAGACAGGTGTCGACTCATGTATAGTTTGGTAGGCCTTGTCGGCTGGTTTTTGTTGTATAGTCTCTCATGGTAGTGTGGTAGCTCGTACCTTATATATAGTTTCTTGATTGTCTAGTCATCCCATGTTATGTATGTTCATGCCATCATATTTTATTGTTGGTTGTCCATGACCCATGTCTACCATTTATATTGATCTCGTCAGCCCTAAAAGATAATAAAGAAGGTTAGATAAAATGTATGTTGGTACTCGGTAAGTATGGCCGGGTGCTAGTCATGGCCCTCCGTTTGGGTCGTGACAGTGGTGACAAGTGTAAGGTGCATTGTAACAAGCATCAAAAGATACAATTGGGTTTGACATAGCATAAGCATCATAAACTCCACTTGGACTAGGAGAAGGACTTGTGAATTGATTTTCAGTCCAAACTCCATATTCAATATCTTGCCTTGCCACCAACTTATCCTTAAAGTATTTAGGAATGAAAGTATGCCCCCTTCCATTTATATCAACCACATACCTATTCCACTTTACATCAATTGAAAGATTATGATCAAGAAACCAAGGCTTTCCCAATCGTACATGGCAATACTTCATAGGATATACATCACACCAAACCACATCTTTAAAGTCTCCTTTGGTTATAGTAACCATCACACCTCTATCAACTCGCTCACCCCGAAATTTATAAGGCGACTTCCTTGGAATACAACTCAATCTCAACCATTCAACAAAGGAAGAAGCAATAAAGTTGGTCGCATAGTGATTACTTATAGCAACCAAGCAACCATCATAGCCTTCTACATTCGCTTTATAATGCCTCCAAGTTACCTTTCTCCCACTTTCATCATAAAAGATTTCAACACTTAGAGAAGCACAATTAGTTCCATAAGAAGAACCCACATAACCATCCATACCTTCCTTATGACTCCTTTTACTTACAAAAGAAAACTTAAAGCAAGAAAATCAGTTAGTAAAAATAGGACCTCTCACTCCCTTAGTGTATCGCTCAATATATATGTCACTCAACACTCGTGTTTACACTCAAAGGTCAAAGGCTTTTGCAGCCTCGCTCAATTGAACTCACCACTCTAGCCTTTTTCCACACAAGGGTATCTAAAGTTCTCTTCACAACCAAAGTTTTCAAACCAATCCAAGTAGGTAATCAAGTATCGGTTCGGAATGGAATGTATGCTGCCAAAGAAAGCACAATTAAAAACTAACGGACTTGAGCCAAACAATTCACAACGAAAATAAAGAGAAAAGCACGAAAGAAATGGCACGAAATAAAATAAAGCACATGAAGAAACTAGAAATAAACTCAATATGAACTAATATCAAGTTAATCTAGTTGAGAGTTTAGTTTACCACAAATTGGAAAGAAAGAAAGGACAGGAAACTATAAAACTAAACACTTTTCAAATTTTGTGGTCATATTTGTAAAAAGAGGTTATTGTTGCAAAACTGGCCAGATTTGCAATCAAGTTGCTGCAGACCAGTGCAGATTTCCCAGCCCAAATCAGTGCAGCTCACACAATAAAACTTTCAGTTCTAGAAGTCCTTTTCAATTTTCAAGCAGTCGCTTCAGTCTACTGTAGTTTTCCAAGTGAGTTGTCAAGTCCGAGCTTCAACTTTGAAATCCAGCCGAAGTGTTACTCATGAATCTGCAGTTATTTCAACCTTCAAAACTCAGCTTCACAAACTTCCCAACTAGGCTAAGCGGACTCCCCAAATCAGCGCAAACAATGTAAAAAAAATGCAGAAACTGCAGCTGGACCTGTGCAGATTGTGAGCTCCAACTGTGCAGAACTGCAGCTCAAAGATATTGCTCAAACAATGCACTGCTGGGCAGCCCAATTCTCATTTTGTTGCAGCAGTTTGTAGGAGAAACTGGTGCAAAACATTTTCTTCAAATAGTGCAGAATCCTTTCTTTTCAGCTGCAGGTGTTTCCATGTTACAACTAGGAGAAGCCTTCCAAAACTGTGTTGCTACTTCAGCTCTCTTTGAATCAAGAAACAAACTACTAGGCTTTCACAAAACTAAGCAGCTATGAACCAGAAACCACAAGTGCAGACAATCAGCTGTGCAGATGTAATTGTGCAAAACTGTGTTGTCCTTAACTTGCACAAATTGGGTGCAAAACTGGAACTTCTAGCTGCAGACAGTGCAGAATTTTCTGCAGATTAACCAGTCCAAACAATGTTTACAGGGCAGAATTTACTGTCAAATTACTCTCCAAACATAAACAAACACTGCAGCAAGAAGTTGTGCAACTGTGGAGAATTACAGCTCAAAACGTGCAGATATCAGCAGCAGGAATAGTGTTGTCAAATACTGCTCAATTCCAGCAGCTAACCGCTGCACAAACAATGGACAAATGCAAAACAAGATGACTTGGAGTTCAACTATTGTAGCAGCAAATAGAACTCAGCAACTGAAGTTTCACTCCCAACAACAGCTATTGTTCAATCCTCAGTTCGAAATTTCAGTTCAACAACAACATTATCTCATCAAGTGCAATCCCAGCTGAATTCCCAAAAGAACAAAACAGTAATTTGAACCAATGTTTAAAAGAGGGGGGGCGTGAGGCGAAGCGTTTTACCACTGACGAGGCGAGGCGTAAGTCCCACGGATCTTTAGATTTTATTAATTTTAAGAATTTTAAGATAGTATAAAATAAAAAATAATTACAAAAATTACATTAAAATCACAAAATTATAACAAATAATCCATTTAAAATATTTTTGAATTATAATTCAACTATGAATAATACGAAAAGTATGACATATATCATAATATGCAAATTAGCTGCAACGTCGTTACCACTCAAATATCAGAAGTAATGTATTCGATATGAAATCTTATATGTATCTCTTAAGGAGTAATGAATCTTGAAAAAGTTTCGATATTATAACTAGATATTTTTTTTCAAAATACTTCTTTTATTTAATATGCTTTCTATTTGAAAGAGAGTTTATATAAAAACATAATTACATTTTAAATATGATTCTCTCGCATCTTTTATTTTTAAGTTTCAACAAGTTAATAAAGTGACACATAATTCACCATATAATACCATGATAACTAATTATTTGTAAATAGTTACTAGCTAATACTAAGCTATTAAATTAATAAGTATTGTATCTCGTAAACGTGAAAAAATAATATTTAGGAAAATAATTATAAAAACAATTATGGACTATTATATAATAAAGACATAACGAAGTTAATAAATAAATACTTTTTAAATGAAAGATTTATTTAAAATTTACTATCATAGCAGTCTTAATGGATAACGTGCAATAGTTTTTATTTTAATTATGACATAAAATACTCTCAACTTAATGATTTATGATTATAAAAAGTAATTTTGAATAGTCAACAATTTATAAAGAAAATTTGAGGATTTAGAAGGTTAGTTACACACAATTGCATAAAGTTCTATTAGGCGAGCCCAGAACACTAGGCATCGGGAGTGTCCGGGCCGTAAGCCCCCACGGTTGAGGCGTAAGTCTCACGGAACTAAGCCCCACACATAAGCCCAGGGGTGTTTTACTAGTGCTCCGCCCTTGGGGCGAGTCCCGGCGAGTCCTAATTCTGCCTTTTCAAACAGAGATTTGAACCAATAACAACGTCGAGTTGATTACGAATTCAAAATCAATCAATTTAGAAAGATCGAGTCGATGTTTAGTTGAAACTCGATTCTCTTCAAAATTTTCAGAAATTAAACCAAGTTTAGACTTCAGAAATCAAACCTGTGCAATCTTCAATGATGAATTTACTGGAATCAGCTATGCATCGATGCGTAGAGACGTTTCATAGGCTACGCAATAGCTTCAAGAACTCAATTCCAGAAATCGCAACTGTTCGTCGGAGTTCTTCGAGCTTCAATGGTAGAGAATTCGAATCTTCGAGCAATCCTCAACCAAATGAACTCAAAATTTGGGACCCTACTTCAAAACAGCATAAGAATCAAACTCCAATATCCGATTTGTTTGAAAATAATTCCTAAAACCAGAAGACCCAGTATCGCCTTCTTCACCGAAATGATTTTCGAAATCTCGAACCGAAACCCTAGCAAACCAGCTTCAAACGAGCCCTAATCTTCCCCAGCCAAGCGGTACCAGCAGGATTAGAACATCCAATCGGTTTTGCACTCAAAATTTCGGATCTAGAGAACACAGTCTTCAAGCTCTTCAGCTTCCCGTCTCGAGTAAGAATCCTCATAAATCGGACTAACGTTTCAGAACAAGTCTCTTACAATTACAAGACGAAACTCAGAAACCTGTTTGAACAATCGCTCACAGAATCGAAGAAACCCAATTGGTCTTCTTCGTTGAGAACCCGTTCGAAATTTTCTGAGCAAAACTCGTTCAAAAATTTGACCCAAACCTTGTTAAATTCAGCTCCAAATTAACTCAAGCTTCAGATTTGAGTACACAATCAAGTTTCCAACTAGAATCTCGAACACCCAATTCGAATTTTGAACCCTAATTTCAGAATTAAAACACGTCGAAGCTTCGATGGGAATTTTCGGACTCCCTTTTCTTCAAATTGTTAACCCTAACTTCGAATTTCAGCTCAAATTAGTAGTTCAATCTCAGAAACGAAGGAATCAGAAATTTCAGAACCAAAATCGAGATGAGAACAATGAAATGAAGTATCTAAATGAAACAGTGACCAACAAAGCTATCAAAAACTTATTACAAAATTACAAGCAAGTTTAGTCTGAACTGGAACTATAAAACATCAACATGGTACAAAACTTCAGCATTTTTTGGTATAAAATTTTAGCATGCTAAAATTCATAATTTAATTACAAACTGCAGGATTAAAACTTCAGCATGTTTGTCTTGAAGTTTTAGAAATAGAACTAAAAATCTTCATCTAAGTTTCGGAAAAAGCTCATGATAAAACTGTTAAATGTAGGACAATATTTCAGCATGTTTTGGTATGAAATTTTAGCAAATGAACTAAATAACTTCAACATGTATTAGCATGATTAGCTTCAACGTGAAACAACTTCACGCTACATTAGCATGAAGTTTTAGTATGAAAAATCTTCATACTACAGTAGCATGAAGTTTTAGCTTCTATTTGATTAGAACTTCAGAATTCAACGTGAAACAATTTTATTCTATATCTATCATGCAAAGTTTTTGAAGATCTATAAGTGAAAACTTCATGTTTCATCCGTCAAATAACTTTATGCAAGTGTGATTAAATGAGCATAAGTGAAAAAATATATAGGCGTTAATTGAATTAAATTAAAAGCATCATGAATTACGAAAATAATTGCAGAAACATATATCATGAAGATTAATCAGTTGCAAAATTAATTTGAATTCCTAAGATGAATTGCAATACTTACAATGTATTTTGTAATTTTGAATTCGGAATTTGAATCTGGTTCAACTTTCTGGTTTTTTGATAAAACTTCTGAGAGGAGAGGAGATCTAAGGAGGGACGGAGTGATGGAGGAGAACGGTAAAGCGATTACTGCGTGATGCATCTTTTATATCTTTTGTTAGGGGTATAATTGTAATATTATTACGGATTTTTTGTTAGCTGGCTACCAAATCAATAATATTTAAAAATAGGGTACAGATTAAAATGTGCCACAAATATAGGGTACGACTTTAAATCGCCCGTATTTCAGGTAAAAATTGCACGGGGCGCCCTATTTGGTCGCCCCCATTTAACCTATACCCATATTTATAAAATTATTTAACCATACCCTAATTTTTACAACTTCATGCTCCTTCTTCCTGCTACCTGTGCGCTCCTTTCTTTTCTGCTCTTTTTATTCTACTCTTCATTTTTTGTAATTTGTAATATATTGATTTGCTCATGGTAACTAAATTGATCATCCAAAGAAGTTCACTGTCGAGGAAGCAAGAAGCTAACTTTGTTAAAGCTACTGCAGAATTTAAATTTCTATCCCTAAATTCATAGTTTTGTATTCAATAGGTGTTCAGGTTGTTAGGGAGATAGGAGGAAGAAGAACTATTGCGCATCTTTACATTAGATTATAGTTGGGAGTTGGGACTTATGTATAGATATAGGGAAAACTTCAGCTAAAACATACTGAAGTTCAACAAATATAGAACAAAACTTCAGCTAGTAGAATGCTTAAGTTCAGTATTTACAAATAAAAACTTCAGCCAACACTAAGTTTACGCGAAAAATTTAGCTAAAACATGCTGAAGTTCAGCAAATAGAGAACAAAACTTCAGCTAGTACGACTGTAGGACAAAAACTTCAGCTTATTTAGTGCTGAAGTTTTTACAAATGAACTAAATAACTTCAGCATTTCTGCTGAAGTTTTTTGAAAAAAGTTTTATGACAAAACTAATGAATCCAGGACAAAACTTTAGTTTATTTAGTGCTGAAGTTTTTACAAATGAACAAAATAACTTTAGCATCTTCTGCTGAAGTTTTTGAAAAAGCTTTACGACAAAACTATTGAATCTAGGACAAAACTTCAGCTAAAACATGCTGAAGTTCAACAAATAGAGAACAAAACTTCAGCTAGTAGAATGCTTAAGTTCAGCAATTACGAACAACTTAAGGCCCGTCTACTAGAATGCAAAGTTTGCGTGATTGCCTTTGCTACTTCAGGCCCGTATGTCTGAAGTTTACGCGAAAAGTGGGTAAGCTTGCATTTTTTTTTATAAAGCGAGTATAAGTTAAAACATGACCCAAAAAGCGTGTATAGATGCAAATACCCGTACTTCAGTCAACTTGGGCCTGGGCATTTTCAATAGGCCTAAAACCCCTAAACGATTCTAAAACCCTAATAACCCTAATATTTGCATAGGCGTCGTTGTTTCTTCCCTTTCTCCCTTTACCAATTCTTCTTCGTATCTTCTCGTTTCCTCTATTGGTAACTGGTAAGTGAAAGCTTAAATTCTTACCGTTCTCTTGCTATTTTTTGTTTCTAGGGTTCCAAATAATTTGTGATTAAGCCATAGTAATTGTTATGAAAGTTGAAAATTTGCTTTAATCACAAATAATATTAGTTTAGTTTTCAATTTGTTTTTAGGTAAGGATGATGAGAAGTAAAACCCCATGGAAAATTAAAACCCCACAGAAAGGAAGAATCAGAAGGGAGCTTGAAAAACGTGCTCCTAAACTGGTGAGTTTGATCTTAGCAAACCACACTTCCAAAAAAAGAGATGGGATTTTTATTGTGATGAAAAATCTTTATTTATTTATTTTGGGGCAGGTTGAAACTGGGAAAAAGACATTGATATTACACGGTACAAAAACAAGCCAAGTGTTGAATGAGGTGATGACTGAAATTTATCACTTGAAGAGGGATAATTCTGTTAAATATACAAGGAAGAATGATAACGTTAGACCATTTGAGAGCGGGGGAGAGGCTTCTTTGGAGTTCTTCTCTCTTAAGACAGATTGCAGCCTTTTTGTGGTAAGTGGGTACATGCCCTTTTCTTTTTTGAGGCATTTTTTGGTTCAGTGGGTAGAAAAGTGCTGATATATAACTTGTTCCATGTTAATTTGGATTTGTTTCTGTGGCTCCTGATTATTATGTTGTTTGCTGAGGCTTGTTCTGAAGGTAGACATAAATGAATCATCTCCAAATATTTAGCAAAGGAGTACAGATCTTTTTTCATGATAAAGAGTTATTTGTGCTAAAAGATATATATTCAATGAAATACAGAAGAAGAAACATAGGTGCAATGTTGAGAATCTGTTACGTCATTCTGAAAATCTCCCCCTAACCCAGACCAAAGGAAGTTCATTTTGACATGGAAGTGCATTGTTTTAATCAGGTTAAGCTTCTGGCTTCTAGGGGATAAGGAACAGAGACTAAGCGTATAATGCTTAATGGGTAGCTTGCATAAGTTCACAACAAAAATGGGTACATTATCTGCCGAAGTCCTTTTAGCTACTTGTAACATTGTTGAAGAGTCCAGTTTTAATCCTCAACTGTTTGATTATTTCAATTAGAACAGATCTGTACTATTGTTAGTTGCTTGCAGGGGCGGAGCTAGCCTTTGAGTTACGGGTTCAGCGAAACTCAGTAATTTTTGTCCAAACTCTATATTTGTCTTAGGGAATTCATTGAATATGTTCAATTATTAATTTTGAACCTAGTAACTTAAAAGGACTAGAATCCTGAACCCATAAATTTCAAATCCTAGTTTCGCCATGGTTGCTTGATTTGCTGAGACACAGAATAAATAAATATTTGAACTTGATATTTGGTTGTCTGTATATCCCTCATTTTGCTACCATAGTTAACTAATTTTAGTGCTAATAGATATGGTGAGAGGGGTTATTTCTGAATGGTAAACTATATAACCATAGTCTTTTGGTATCATGTTGTTTGGTTATCAGGGTTTCTTTTATAGTCTGAGGGAGAGCACATTTAGAACTAGAGAATCTAGAATCTGTATTTTGTAGCTTTGGAGCACTCTAACTGAAGATGTATTTTTTGTTCAATTTTTGGTCCCTCGAGATATTTATAGTTGATTTGTGGCTCCTGATGGTAATTGGTCTATAGATTATATTACTCATGTAGTGAAATATATTAATGTCATAAAGGATATGTATAAAGGAATTGTCACTAGCGTGAAAACAGTAGTAGGAGATCCAAAAAAGTTTCCCATGGCAGTGGGTCACCAAGGGTTCTGCATTGAGCCCCTACTTATTGAACGCAGTTATGAATGAGCTAACCAACGCAACAAAAGGTTCCATGGTGTATGCTATATGCTGATGTCAACAAAAAGCTTGAGCTATGGAGAAGCACCTTAGAGAAGGGTTCTAAGATATGTAGAAGTAAGACTGAATACATGCACGACAAGTTTAGTCAGTACGAGAAGATCGAAGTTGACTAGATGAAATTGCGGTGCCAAAATGAAAACAATTTAGACATCCAGGCTCGTTTCAGGAGAATGAAATGATAGATGAAGATGTTACTCATAGGATTAGAAGAGCGAAGTTGACTAGATGGAATTGCGGTGCCAAAATGCAAACAATTTAGATATCCAGGCTCGTTTCAGGAGAATGAAATGATAGATGAAGATGTTACTCATAGGATTAGAACCGGATGGTTGAAACGGAGAAGTGCTACCGGGTGTTATGTGATAGACTATTCCTACCAAGGTGAAAGGTAAGTTCTATAGAACAACTATAAGACCAGTCATCTTATATGGTAGTGAATGTTAGGTTGCTAAAGTTCAACATATCCACTAGATGAGTGTTGTAGAAGTGCGAATGCTAAGATGGATGTGCGGTAAATAAGATTAAAATTAACCGCATTCGCCAGAAGTTGCAGCATACGTTGAGGATAAAATGAGAGAACATCGCTTGAGATGGTTTGGTTGGTCGTGTCTTGCGTCGACCTACAGATGCACCAATCCGTAGGAGTGAAACTATGGTGTGTGAAGTTAAAAAGGGGAAGGGGTAGACCCAAATCACATGAAAGGAAGTTGCCTCAAAAGACCTACGAATCCTTGGAATCAATGCAGACTTAGCTAAGAATAGGGCACAATGGAAGATGAAAATCCATATAAGTGATTTTTACTAGTTGGGAATAGGTTTTAGATTTGGTATAGAATATATATATATATATATATATATATATATATATAATACTATACTATACAATGTAATTGGCATAATGTTATTGTTGTTTAACTCTGAATAATTAGTTATTCTCACATTATTTAGACATAATTTCATGTTTTTAATAATTGGTACTTACTACTGACATTGATTTAACAAGAATAACAATATAATTAATATTTGTATGGACTTAGATATCTTAGTGTAACTAGATATAAGAGAATTATATAAAATTAATATAAATAATAATGTTATAAATAGAGACACTGTCTTTAGATTTGTCATCATATATTAGGGCAAAAATTAGTAATAAATTTTATTTTTTATTGTAAATCTTATTATTTAATATAATTTTTAAATTAGTGATGCAACCATAATTTCATGGTAAATTTGTG